TTCTGCCTCAGCCTTCCAAGTAACTGGAACTACAGGCGTGCACTACCACGCCCGGCTAATTTTTTGATTTATTGTAGAGATGAGGTTTCACCAAGTTGCCCAGGCAGGTCTTGAACCCACGGGCTCAGGCAATCCACTCACCTCAGCCTCCCAAGGCGCGGGATTACAGGCTGAGCCACCAAGCCCAGCTACTACTTCTTAATCTATTTTCTAGAATGCTTTCCAAAGACCCCTTACGAATTTGTTTTCTTCCTCCTTTGAGTCATAAGCGACAAATTCACCATCAGAGAGCCTAGAGCAAGTTTTGTTCAAACACCTTTCCAAAGGTATAAAGTACTTACTTAGAGATGGGCTTTCATCTGTCAAATTACAATTCAGTGATCCTGTATTTTCAAGAACTGGGCTACAAGCTGTTGAGGAGAATGAGTTGAACACAGAGTTTCTTGCCCTATAGGAGAGAATCAGATGAATACAGAGAGTCAGAGTACGTTAGAGCCACAAGAAAAATCACAGGCAGATTTGTGGGGCTTCAGGAGAGAAAAAGCAGAATATTTGATGACAGTTATCAGGGAGACCTCCATGGAGAAAGAAGCTTGTGGGTTGAGTGTCAAATCCTTATAGGATTTGGAAAGATAGATTCAGAGGCATGGACGAAGACAGTTTAAATGTTTGTAACTTAGTTGCTCTAAGGCATCCTCAGCCCAGAAGTCTGGCATTTGGTAAATCTGGATGAATCCACATTCGTAAGCACAGCAGATAGCAAAAATAAATGATCATTCTATAAGACCTGTGTTCAGGCAGGCAGTTATTCTGTTCCCCCAGGTGTGCCCCTTACTCTCTGGTGTTGTTTTTGTATATGGCTTCCAGCCTGCCCTATCCATCTTGTTACTTATACATGTTTTTGTTTATTGGTTGGTTTACAGCTTTGAAACTCAAAGGAATGGATTGGTGTTTATCTATGACATGTGTGGTTCTAATTATACCAATTTCGAACTGGATCTTGGCAAGAAAGTCCTGAACCTGCTGAAGGTAAGACTGTGGCAGAGCTCTCTCAGCTCTCCTGAAATGAGTGGGAGTTTTCATTGTGTTCTTTGGGAAAAGATTTAGGAAGGATGTAAAATTCAGGCGTTATGTTCAGCTTAAGAGTCACCTGGTAGCTGGGTGCAATGGCTCATGCCTATAGTCCCGCAGCGGTTCAAGACCAGCCTGGGCAATGTGACGAGACCTCGACTCTACAATAAATCAAAAAATTAGCCGGGCATGGTGGCACGCACCTGTGGTTCCAGCTACTTGGAAGGCTGAGGTGGAAGGATGGCCTGAGCCCAGGAGGTCAAGGCTGCAGTGACTGTGAGTGTGCCACTGCACTCCAGCCTGGGTGACAGAGTGAGACTCTAACTGAAAAAAAAAAAGATCACTTGGAAATGATGACTTATCTCTCCTTAGTTAGAACAAGAAACCATCTTAAAGGTAAAGACGGAAGAATTATTAATTAAATAAAAATTGCATGTGAACATTCTGAGTCTTTTTTTTTTTTTTAATTGTAGAGACGAAGTCTCAGGCTCAAGTTGGTCTGGGCTGGTCTCAAACCCGTGGGCTCAGGCAATCCACTCACCTTGGCCTCCCAAAGTGCTGGGATTACTGGCTGAGCCACGGAGCCCAGCCCATTCTGAGTCTAAAAAGTGGGATGTCCTTTTCCTGGATTTTTGTAGGAAAAGAATGAATGAATGTCTAGGTGTGGTACCTGTGAAAATTATCACTTGGCTAGTGATTTTTCAGACATTTTTGTCTCAGTCTAATCAGAAGTATGTTTTAAGTTTCGACTTAGTACACAAAGGTGTATGTATCCTAACTATATGCATACAAATAGATTTAAATGTATATGGGTAAAGTTTTATTTTATTTTATTTTATTTTATTTATTTATTTTTTGGAGTTGGAGTCTCACTCTGTCGCCCAGACTGGAGTGCAATGGCTGCTCCCGACCACCGCAGCCTCGACCTGCTGGGCTCCGGCGATCCTTCCGCCTCAGCCTTCCGGAGTCTCACTCTGTCACCCAGACTGGAGTGCAATGGCCGCTCCCGGCCACTGCAGCCTCGACCTGCTGGGCTCCAGCGATCCTTCCGCCTCAGCCTTCCAAGTAGCTGGAACTACAGGGGCGCACTACCACTCCCGGCTAATTTTTGATTCATTGTAGAGATGAGGTCTCGTCAAGTTGCCCAGGCGGGTCTCGAACCCGTGGGCTCAGGCAATCCACTCACCTCGGCCTCCCAAAGTGCTAGGATTTCAGGCTGAGCTACCGAGCCTGGACTAAGTTTTATATTAAGATTCATAATTCCTTATTCCAATCTCTTAGGTCCAGAGGTGTTGTAAAATTGTTAAACTTTAAAAGATAATGTGGGCTGGGTGTGGTGGCTCATGCCTATAATCACAGAACTTTCAGAAGCCAAGGTGAGAGGATTGCTTGTGTCTAGGAGTTCAATACCAACCTGGGCAATGTAGCGTGACCCCGTCTCTACAAAAAAATTTTAAAAACTAGCCAAGTGTGGTGGTGTGTGCTTGTAGTACTTAACTACTCAGGAGGCTGAGATGGAAGGATCTTCTGAGCCCAGGAAGTCAGGTTGCAGTGAGCCATAATGGTGCCACTGCACTCCAGTCTGATGATAGTGAGACTCCAACTCAAAAAAAAAAAAAAGAGAGAGAATTTGTTATATATGCTACTCTGTAATCAAGCATATTAATATTTCTGCAGTAAAATGTGTTATTATTCATAATAACTGAGGAAGAATAAACGATGACTATGTCTTTTCAAGTCAGATTTTGCTTCCCAGTGAATTTTTGGGTCAAACTTAGAAATAAACGTAAAGTTGCTGGGCATGGTGGATCACACCTATAATCCCAGCACTTTGGAAGGCAGAGGTGAGAGGATTGCCTGAGGCCAGAGGTACAAGACCAGTCTGGGCCTGCCTCTTCAATAAATAAAAAAAATTAGTCAGGCATGATGGTGTGTGCCTCTGGTTCCAGCTACTTAAAAGGCAGAAGGATCACCTGGGCCCAGCAGATCAAGACTGTGATGACTGTGAGCATGCCACTGTACTCCAGCCTGGGTAACAGAGTGAGACTCCTCCTTAAAAAAAAAAGAAAGAAATGTAAAGTTTTCAGAACTGTTTCAATTTCATTATTGAGGATAACTGTACATAAATCTGTGTTTACGTATTTATAAAACAAAGTACAAAGCTTCACAACAAAAGTTATACCTTCATTATGTAAAAGATGCACCTCAATCACTTGGATTATTCTATTTCATAGTTCTGGAATGTTAGTCATGACCAACTAAACTGATTTCAGGCCTCACTGAATCACATGCTGCACTGTCAGTAACACTGGTCTTGGAATCTGAGCCGTGTTTGTTCCAGGACCTCACTTGGGATCACTATTGAACTGGATTTTAGAAGTGTTTATTTACTGTCAGAGCTCTACAATGGAGATGAGAGGAAGAGGATGTTGTACTGTATGTTGTTTTCTGGGATTTGCTTTTTACACTCAACAGTGTCCTATGTTACTATAGTTTCTCTTACGGTATGTAGCTGTGACTCATTCCTTTTCTTTTCTTTTCTTTTTTTTTTTTTGAGTTAGAGTCTCTTTCTGTCACCCAGACTGGAGTGCAGTGGCCGCTCTCAGCCACTGCAACCTCTACCTGCTGGGCTCCAGTGATCCTTTTGTCTCAACCTTCCAAGTAGCTGGAACTACAGGAGCACGCTACCACGCCCGGCTAATTTTTGATTTTTTGTAGAGATGAGATCTCGCCAAGTTGCCCAGGTGGGTCTCGAACCCGCAGGCTCAGGCAATCCACTCACCTCCGCCTCCCAAAGCGCTGAGATTATAGGCTGAGCCACGGAACCCACCAACTCATTCCTTTTCATGGATGGATTGAAGGACTCATGATCGATTGATGAGTGCAGTGGTTTATTCATATCTGTTTTTCTGGTGACGGCTCCTTTTGTTGTTTCCTTATTTTTGCTACACGCTGAGCATTCTTAATTTGAAACACGCTAAAATCTGAAACTTTTTTGGGCACCAACATGATTCTACAAGTGTAAAATTCCATACCTGACCTCATGGAATGGTCGCAGTCAAACTTTGTTTCATACACAAAATTATTAAAATTATTGTATAAAAGTATCTTCAGGCTATGTGTATAAGTACTTATGAAACGTAAATGAATTTAGTGTTTGGACTTGGGTCCTACCCCCAGAGATCTCATTATGTATATGCAGATATTCCAAAATCTGGAAAAAAAAATCCAACATCTGAAACAGTTATGACTCCAAGCATTTCTGATAAGGGATTTTAACCTGTGTTATAAATGGTGCTATTATGAACATTCCTTTATTTATTTATTTTTATTTATTTGTTTTTTGAGTCAGAGTCTTACTTTGTCGCCCAGGCTAAAATGCAGTGGCATGCTCACGGCCACTGCAGTCTTGGCCCACTGGGCTCAGGCAATCCTGCCTCAGCCTTCCAAGTAAGACCTCCTATTACAATTTGCCGAACTACAGCTGGCTAAATTTTTGATTTAGGCCTTGCCAAGTTGCCCAGCCTGGTCTTGAATCCCTGAACTCAGGCTGTCCTCTCACCTCCACCTCCCAAAGTGCTGGGATTACAGGCATGAGCCACCGTGCCCAACCTACTTTTTCAAAATTATGCATCTGATGAGAAGATTTTGTTTTCTTTTCTTTCTTTGTTTGTATTTTGAGACATGGTCTTACCATTATTGCCCAGGCTGGTTTCCAACTCCTGGGCTCAAGCAATCCTCTCACTTCAGCCTCCCAAAGCACTGGAACTACAGACCCAAGTCAATATGCCAGGCCAAGAAAATATTTTTAAAAAAAGAATTATTTTCATCTTTTGATTTTGGAGTCATTTTGTTAAGTTCTGTGAAATAAAACACTTGAGATTTTATTTGGATACAGTCACTTTTAAATTAGTTAGAATTGACATCTTTACAACATTGTCTTCTCACATCCAGCCTTTTAAAGTAGATTTCAATTAAGATTATAACAAAGTAAAATCAGTACAAGGTATTATAGAAAATATAAAGAAGAAATTCAAAATAACTCCTAATCCTCCTTATCCAAGATAAACTCAGTTGAACTTTTGATATAATTCTTTTTTTTTTTTTTTTTTTTTTTTTGAGTTGGAGTCTCACTCTGTCACCCAGACTGGAGTGCAATGGCCGCTCCAGGCCACCGCAGCCTCGACCTGCTGGGCTCCGGCGATCCTTCCACCTCAGCCTTCCAAGTAGCCGGAATTACAGGCATGCGCTACCACGCCTGGCTGATTTTTTGATTTATTGTAGAGATGAGGTCTCGCTGCCCAGGCGGGTCTCGAACCTGCGGGCTCAGGCAATCCACTCACCGCAGCCTCCCAAAGGCGCGGGATTACAGGCTGAGCCACCGAGCCTGGCTGATATAATTCTTTATGATCTTTTTTTTTTTGAGTCGTAGTCTCACTCTGTCACCCAGGCTGGAGTGCAGTGGCATGCTCACGTCCACTGCAGTCTCAACCTGCTGGGCTCAGGTGATCCTTCCGCCCTCAGCTTTCCAAGTAGCTGGAACTTCAGGCATGTGTCACCATGCCTGGCTAATTTTTTTGGATTTATTGTAGAAATGAGGTCTCACCACGTTGCCCAGGCTGGTCTCAAACCCATGGACTCAGTTAATCGTCTCACCTCAGCCTCCCAAAGTGCTGGGATTACAGGCTTGAGCCATTGCACCTGGCCATGATCTTTTTTTTCTGTATGAAAGTATGTTCTTTCTTTCTTTTTTAACAACATTAAGATTATTGTTTGATCTTGTCTAGTTTAACGTTATATTGTGAGCATTTTCCAAAGTTGTAAAAATTCTTTGTAATCTTTATTGCAAAGGTTATTTAACAGCTTACTGTAAGCTATAAAATTTTGTTTACCACTACCTTTTTCTGAACGTATATATTCTTTCCAGTCTTTTTATTATTCTCGTTATTACTTTTTTTTTTTAAGTCAGGGTCTCAATCACCTAGCCTGGAGTGCAGTGGCTGATTACAGCTCACTGCAACTTGGAATTCCTGGGTTCAAGCAATCCTTCAGCCTCAACCTCCTGTGGATCTGGGATTACAGGAGTGCACCACCGCACTTTGCTCATTTTTTGTAGAGACAAGTTCTTGCTATATTGTCTAGGGTGGTCTCAAGCTCCCAGATTCAAGAAATCCTCTCACTTAAGCCTCTCAAAGTGCTAAGATTATAGGCAAGAGCCCCCACACCTGGCCCTCCAGTTTTAAAGTATTATTTTTTATCAATATACAGTAATACTGTTTTTATAAATCTTTGTGTTTCTGCTCATTTTTTAAAGGATAGCGTCTCAGAAATAAAGCTGATCAAAAAGTATGTACATTTTTAGTGATTTATAATGCCAGATGCCTTCCAAAAGGCATTACCCATTTCCTGACCACGTCTAAAGGTGCCGCACTATTGTTTAAATGGACGAGGCATGGGTCTGCAAGTCTTCACTCTGGTAAAGAAGACATAATGGCTTCTATCTCCTATTTATCATTTTGTGGAAATATAGAGCTATTTCTCTAGACTAGTTTTTGATCTGGCAGTTAAAGGAGCCTTGGGTATTTAGGCCCTGAAGTAAATTGTTGCATCTTTGAAGGAAGAGATGAAAGGTGGTTTCTCGGGCTTTAGAGAGAGGCTTTGGGACATTCTGTTCTGGTATCTGAGACTTCATTTGCCCTCGTGCTTACTAGGTTATATTTATTGATTGAATAGATACATAGATGAATTAATAGATGAAAAATAAATGATTATCCATACACAGATATGCTGAATGACAGATAGGAAAGAAATGTCTAATGTTCAATTTATTCATGATCTAGTTTCTCCTTTGAGGTTTATAAGCAGAACTTTACTAGGGTACATTTATGTCTGCTTGTGAATGACATGTAAGAAGCTGTTGATGAGAAACATCAGAATAGTTTTTGATCCATAAAGCTTATGGTAGACATGAACTTAATGTTGTTATTTTCAGAGGCATGTCAGCTTCTAATTTCCTTTTTCTTTTAACTACTTTCCCTCTAGCTACTCAGGTAAAGCCTGCATTGGGCTGTAGACTCCCCCTGCTGGGTGAGACTGGGGAGAAGCGCAGAAAGCCTCAACTTCAGGCCTGAACAGTCCAGTTCTGATGCGCCTTAAACCCTCCCACGTTTTCTCCACAGGGAGCATTTCCGGCTCGCTTGAAGAAGGTGCTGATTGTGGGCGCTCCCATCTGGTTCCGAGTGCCCTATTCTATCATCAGCCTCCTCCTGAAGGACAAAGTCCGCGAGAGGGTGAGCACCTGGCCTTCTCCTCAGCACCCGGCCTTTTCCTAGGCACCCAGCCTTCTCCTGATCCCCTGGCCTTCTCCTGTGTGGAGGTGTACAGATACATCCCCATCTCTACTGGCAAATTCCTGCCTATTAATTGTCTCCCTTCAGAAATTCCCCCTGGCTTGTCCCCTAGAGCTTTTTCCGCTTATGTTGGTATGTCTGCTCACATTCTCTGTTTTTCAGTAGCTGACTCAGTGTAGATGCTGTCCTACAAGCTCCCTGAAGCTTGGGACTGGGCTGGGTTTATCTGGCTCTCTCTCTCCGTAGCACCCTGTGTAAGATAGTACTGAAGGAGTGTGTCCTGAAGGCAGTTTAAGGATGGCTGCTATTTCTAGAATTTAACCTAGTGCTGCACTGGCCTTTAATATTTAACAACTTTTAATATAACAGCATTAGTGGAACTAACATTTCAATTTGTTCAACTGGAAACACCATTTAATCCCTTTGACCATCAGGGTGGTGGTCTCTTCTACATTTATTCTTGGCATTTTTTTCTTAAAACAGCTGTCGCTTCCCAATTTCAAAAGTGTTCTCCAGAATTACCTTAATTCTGGTATCATCTCTTGAATAACCCATGACTGAAAGATTATGGTTTCAGTCGCTGATTGAAAGAAAGGGCATGTGAAAAAGTCCGGGAAGCCTGGTTCGGTGGCTCAGCCTGTAATCCCGCGCCTTTGGGAGGCTGCGGTGAGTGGATTACCTGAGCCCGCGGGTTCAAGACCCGCCTGGGCAACTTGGCGAGACCTCATCTCTATAATAAATCAAAAGATTAGCCGGGCGTGGTAGTGCACACCTGTAGTTCCAGTTACTTGGAAGGCTGAGGCGGAAGGATCGCCAGAGCCCAGCAGGTTGAGGCTGCAGTGGCTGGGAGCGGCCACTGCACTCCAGTCTGGGTTACAGAGTGAGACTCCAACTCAAAAAAAAAGAAAAAAAAGAAGAAGAAGTCCGGGAATAAAGATGTTCTTTTGAGGTATTATCAAAGATTATTGTGGTAAGGAATTATGAAGTTAAACGAATAATAATGCAGGTCTTTATAGCTGAAGCACCTTGGGCGGGAGGGGGAAGGCATTTGGTTCTGTGGAAGCTGCTTAGAGACCTGATGTCTCAAGCGGGAGAGATCTTCCTTGAGAGAACACTCTTGAGTTGCCTCTGCAGGCAATCCTTGTATTTGAATGATAGGAATTATACATGCATGTGTAAACTCAAGACATTTTAGCACCTTTTACAAGCACTGGGTCTTGTGAATTCAAATTCAATTGAGACAGTCTTTACCCTCCAGGAACTCATGGTCCTGATGGGGAGAGAAACCCCTGTGAGAGGACCTGGGAACCAGGTGCACAGAGGAGAGTATTGCCTGGGGTAGTCAGGAAGGGCTTCACGGAAGAGATTAGCTATGTGCTGGTCCCTCAAGAGGCAGAGGAGGAAATGAGGGGATTTCAAGAAGAGGCAATAAAGAGACAAGCTTCTAGGAAGAACTTTCACATACCACAGAGATTCTGAGGAGAACCAGCTAGGCCAATGTGGTCCAGTATGGCTGTGTCCGAGCAGAGAGCAGGATGAAGTGTTAGGATCACTTCTCTGTTGTTTCTCCTGGACCACTCCACCCCCAAGTAGCTCACTTTCATAGGAAGCCTGTCTTTGAGAACACCCATACCAAGCTGTGAGTAAAACTCAAGCAAAGAGACCTAGAATTGGCCTAGAATTGGTTGCCTTAGTATGAGTTTGACAAAAATAGCTACTACCTATGCATTCTTAGTGGACAAAAAAAGAGTACCAGCATGATGTGATAACTTGGAAGCCTTGTTAATAGTATAAAGCCTTTGTTCACTATACTGACCTTTCAGAAAACATAGAACAGGGCTCCTAAATCCAGGAGTGAATTTGATATACATTGTGAGAACTCAAGCTTTTATCTAGCAAATTTATAGAACTTCGAACCCAGGCAGGTGAAATGGGGTCTACTTCTCTTCTAAGCATACCAAGAATTTTAAGCAAATCTCATCCCATTCCCCAGATATAAGTACATTTCTTCTTTATCTTCTCTACCTGTGTGCCTTATCTTCCTCACATACTCACATGTTTCTTTCTGGTCTTCCAGATTCAGATATTAAAGACATCCGAGGTCACCCAGCACCTACCCAGGGAGTGCCTTCCAGAAAACCTGGGTGGGTACGTCAAAATTGACCTCGCCACTTGGAATTTCCAGTTCCTACCCCAGGTGAACGGCCACCCAGATCCCTTCGATGAGATCATCCTGTTCTCCCTCCCTCCTGCCTTAGACTGGGACTCAGTACATGTTCCAGGTCCCCATGCCATGACCATCCAAGAGCTGGTGGATTATGTGAACACCAGGCAGAAGCAGGGAATATATGAGGAATATGAAGACATCCGCCGTGAGAACCCCGTCGGCACTTTCCACTGTTCCATGTAAGTAGAAAGGCTTGGGGCAGTGGTTGGTTCCCAGGATGCTCCGGACACTGGGCTCTGCCTCACCTCACTTCCTTAAGAAAGAAGCATCATTCTGACTCAGATGATGGTTTCTTTCCTCCAAGAGAGGTACCTTCTGCTTTGATGCTTGTTGCTAGCACCCTATGCTCTGAAATATCTGAAAGTCTTTGGTAGCAATAGGGAATCACTGTTTGACATGTTTTTGGATATTTTCCTGAAATGCAAGATTTTTTTTGTTTTTTGTTTTTGAGTTGGAACCTTACTCCGTCGCCCAGGCTGTAGTGCATTGGTATGCTCATAGTCATTCCAGTGTCGACTTGCTGGGCTCCGGCAATCCTTCCACCTCAGCCTTCCAAGCAACTGGAACTACAGGCACACGCTGCCATGCCCAGCTAATTTATTTATTTATTTATCTTTTTATTATTGTAGAGACAAGGTCTCTCCAAGTTGCCTGGGCTGATCTCGAACCCGTGGGCTCAGGCAGTCTACTCTCCTCAGCCTCTCAAAGTGCTGGGATTACAGGCTGAACCACTGAGCCCGGCCTTTTTGCTTTTGTTTTTTAAAGGTAGGCTCAAATGGCTTGTTCTCTATTCTTGTCTTCAGTGTGAGCACTGGTCTGTTCATTTGGGCAGTTTCTTCCTGGAACCTTTATAATGCAACATTATATTCTGAGGAGGGGTGCCTGGTTTATTAAAATAATCCACAGAGCAGAGGAATTGTCTATTGGGAATTTAACTCCTTGGGATTTTCATTCTACCCGTGTCCCACCACAAAACCACCTGGCTAGTTTAGAACTCTGCTTCCTAACTCCTTGGTACCTGTTGTCAGCAGCAGAATATAGATCATTCTCTTGCCATGTTTTAATTGACTGCAGCAGAAGTCTCTTGGTTTTCCAACTAGTGAGCCCTGTCTAGTAAGAGTCAGGGAAGCTGTCTCGTAGTGGGTCGCGGGCTCAAGTTCCAACTTAGCCAAAGATTCCCTCTGTGAGTGATGCAAGTCATTACCCTTCTTGCCCTTCAGTTGTCCTTTATGTGGTTTGTGACTGTTGGACTCTGATGTCCACTTGCCTTGTCTCTTAAATATTTCAAGAACCCATGATTCTGTGGGTTCCTTTCCCCTTGTGTAATTCCCTTCTAGTTTAGTCAGCGTGCTCTGAAGAAGACGTAGGAACAGAGTCTTTTAGCAAAGAAAGAAGAAATACTGAGTTGGGAAACAGACGAGGGATGTTATAGAGAAGCGGCAATTGAGAAAGAAGTCCACAGGAGAAAGAGGGAAGGCAGACTGCACGTCAGGGAAGATGGATTTTGTTCTCCCACACAGCTCTGTGCCTTCACTGCCAGCTTGAGACCCTGCTCACATCTCATGTCTCTCCTAAGCAGCTTCCCCTACAGACTTGAGTCAAGGAAGGGTCTTAGAGCAGGGAGGAGTACTTGCTGTATAGGAGAATGCACACTTTCCCGGGGGGCCTCTCAGGGAGGAGTGCTCCCTGTCTAAGAGGTCCCCACAGGGAAGAGTGTGCTCTAAGAGGATGCACATTTGCCATGGGTTTCTTGCAGGAAGGAGTACCTGCTGTCTAAGAGGATGCATGCTACCCTGAAGGTCCCTGTAGGGAGGAGTGCTGGCTGTCTAAGAGGATATACATGCTTACCCTGGAGGTCCCAGCAGGGAGGAGTGCTTGCTGTCTAGGAAGATGCACCCTTTCTATGGGGGTCCTCCCCTTGCTCTTCGTGCTTCTGCAGTTATCCATTGTTGTGACGTCCTTGAGATGTTACCTCCATCAGGGGTTCCCCCATGAGAAAAGCGGGTTTGAATTGTCCTCTCAGCATCACCCAAACCAGCTGCCGTGCAACAGTCGGAGAGCATGTTCCAGTCTTGTGCGAATGCTTCCAGGTCTTGCTTTTGTCTCGAGCCCCTACTTGATGATCTAGAACTCAGAATCCTCATTGTCTCCAGACCTCTGTCTTCCACCAGATCCCTATAGAGCTGCTTACCGAGAACAAATAATGTCTGCCTTGGAATGCTGCTTTGTGAAGTCGATATCAGTGTTCATTGTTGCCCATGATTTCCATGGATTGAGAAACTTCTTTTGCTTTTTTCTTTCTTTCTTTTTCTTTTTTTTTTGAGTCATAGTCTCGTTCTGTTGCCCAGGCTGGAGTGCAGTGGCACGCTCATGGTCACCACAGCCTCTACCTGCAGGACTCAGGCAATCCTTCTGCCTCAGCCTTTCTTTTTTTTTTTTTTTTTGAGTTGGAGTCTCACTCTGTTGCCCAGACTGGAGTGCAGTGGCCGCTCCCGGCCACCGCAGCCTCAACCTGCTGGGCTCTGGCGATCCTTCTGCCTCAGCCTTCCAAGTAGCTGGAACTATAGGCGCATGCTACCACGTCCAACTGATTTTTATTCATTGTAGAGATGAGGTCTCGCCAAGTTGCCCAGGCGGGTCTCGAACCCACGGGCTCAGGCAATCCACTCACCTCAGCCTCCCAAAGGCACAGGATTACAGGCTGAGCCACCGAACCCAGCTTGCCTCAGCCTTTCAAGTAGCTGGAACCACAGGTTTGCACTACCATGTCTAGCTAATTTTTTGGTTTATTGTAGAGATGAGATCTCGCCAAGTTGCCCAGGCTGATCTTGAACCCATGGGCTCAGGCAATCCTCTCGCCTTGGCCTCCCAAAGTGCTGAGATTATAGGCATCAGCTACCATACCCAGCCCTTTTTTCTTACTTTTATCACGAGATAATTTTAGATTCACACGCAGTTGTAAGACATATGCAGGCTGGGTGCGGTGTCTCAAGCCTGTAATCCCAGCACTTTGGGAGACTTAGGTGAGGGAATTGCCTGAACCCACGGGTTCGAGAACATCCTGGGCAACTTGGCCAGACCTCAACTTTACAATAAGTAAAAAAATTAACCGGACATGGTAGCACACGCCTGTAGTTCTGGCTACTTGGAAGGCTGAGACAAAAGGATAGCCTGAGCCCAGCAGGTTGACACTGGGGCGGCCGTGAGCATGCCACTGCACTCCGACCTGGGGGACAGAGTGAGACTTCAATTCAAAAAGAAAAAAAAATACAGAATTCCATCACCACAAGGCTTTCTAACCCCTGCAGCCATTCATCTAGTCTCCATTCCTGTAGTTTTTTCCTTTCCCGAATGTTGTTATATAATTGGAATCACACTGCATGTAATCTTTTGGGATTGCCTGATTCTCTGGATATTCATCCAAGTTGCATGTTGTCAATGGTTGGTTCCATTTCGTCACTGAGTAGTGTTCCATGGTATGGATGTATCATGGTTTAACCATTTAGCTGTTGAAGGACTTCTGAGTTTCCAGTTTTGGGCTATTACAAGTAAAGCCAGTATGAGCATTTGTGTCTAGGTTTTGTATGAACATGTTTCCGTTTCTCTGGGATAAATGCCCAGGACTGCAATTGCTGCATATGCAATTGTACATTTAGTTTTTATAAGAAACTGCCCAGCTTCTTTCCAGAACGGCTGTACCATTCTGTATTCTCACCAGCAGTGTGCAAATAATCCCGTGTCTTTGCATCCTCACCAGCATTTGGTGATGTCACTGTTTTGTATGTGTGTAGTTTTTGTTTCTTTTTTTTTTTTTTTCCTAGAGATAGGATCTCATTCTGTTGCCCAAGCTAGAATGCAGTGGCATGATTATAACTCACTACAGCCTTGAGCTGCTGGACTCAAGCAGACCTCCCACCTAAGACTCCCAAGTAGCTGGGACTGCAGGTGGGCACTGACCTGTGATCCATTTTGAATTAAGTTGTATAAAGTATAGGTTGATGTTCACTTTTAAATGTTTTGAGTTGGGGTCTCACTCTGTCACCCAGGCTGGAGTGCAGTGTACAGTCATGGCTCGCTGCAGCCTGACCTCCTGGACTCAGGCAGTCCTTCCACCTCAGCCTCCCAAGGCACTCTAGACACTACCACGCCTGGCTAATTTTTAAAATTTTTTTAGAGACAGGATCTCACTGTGTTACCCAGGCTGGTTTCAAACTCCTGGGCTCAAGCAGTACTCATGTCTTGGCCTCCTCAACAGTTGGGATAACAAGCATGAGCCACCATGCCCAGCCCCATTTAATGTTGTTTATGGATGTCTAGTTGCTCCAGCACCACTTGTTGAAAAGTATCTTTTCTTTTCTTTCTTTCTTTTTTTTTTTTTTGAGTTGGAGTCTCACTCTGTCGCCCAGACTGGAGTGCAGTGGCCGCTCCTGGCCACCGCAGCCTCGACCTGCTGGGCTCTAGCGATCCTTCCGCCTCAGCCTTCCGAGTAGCTGGAATTACAGGCGCACGCCACCACGCCCAGCTAAGTTTTTGATTTATTGTAGAGACGAGGTCTCGCCTGCCCAGGTGGGTCTCGAACCCGCGGGCTCAGGCAATCTATTCACCTCAGCCTCCCAAAGGCGCGGGATTACAGGCTGAGCCACTGAGCCCAGCTGAAAAGTATCTTTTCCATTAATTGTCTTTGCAACTTTGTACTAAATTAACTGGGCATATTTGCATGGGAAGAGGGGAATTTTTTAATATGTAGAAATGTACAGAGAATGACACAACAAATAACTATGTTCCTGTCATCGGAATCAACACTGACAAGCGTTAATATTTTGTCATTGTTGGTTCAAATCTTGTTTTACTAAATAAAAGAAAGAACTCATGGTCAAGTTGAAATTTCTTTTACTCCTCATCCCCAGCTCTCCCCACTCCCATAGGCAGCTACTTATATGAATATGTTAAATTTCTTTCCAACTTATTTTGTTTTTACTATTACAAACACATATGATCCTGAGCAAATCAGAGTATTATTTTGTGTGTGTGGGCTTTGTAATTTTTTTTTCTTTTGGTTAATAATGTATGTAAGTAATTTGTTCAAAACCAAAAAAGAAAAAAAGCAATGGCAAAAGAAACAGCAGGCTCCTGCCTCCCTTCAGTTCTGCTGCCTGGAGCCGTGTTTTCAATGCTTGTAGTTATTTCTTGTAGAATTTAATTTAATTCTAAATTAAAATGCTTATAATGCTTTTTACTGATTTTTATTGTAGGCGAGCATTTCACTCTTATATCACATTTCCACTTTTCTTTTGACTGCTTTTTTAATATAATTATATGCCACGTTTTTTATTGCATCTGTAGTCACTGTTTATGTTAGTATGACTATATAATTTTGTTTTTTTCTTTGACCACAAAGTAGTCTACTGTGAAAGAATCAAATATAGCAAGGTGCAGTGGCTCATACCTGTAATCCCAGCACTTTGGGAGGCCGAGGCAAAGGATTGCCTGAGCCCGTGGGTTCGAAACCAGCCTGGGCAACATGGTGAGACCTAGTCTCTACAATAAATCAAAACAATTAGCCGGGCATCGTGGCATGTGCCTGAAGTTCCAGCTATTTGGAAGGCTGAGGCAGAAGGATCACCTGAGCCTAGCAAGTTGAGGTTGTGGTAGCTGTGTGCATGGGTGACAGAGTGAGATTCCTACTTAACCAAAAAAAAAAAAGAAGAAGGATCAAATATATTAAATAGTCTTACCAATTTCATTTTTCCCTTCTTTTGGAGCTGATTACCTAATTTTTCCATTTACTTTTAGTTTTCCAATGACCTGTCTTCATTATTTTTCCATGTGCTTAACCAGATTTACTTTACACAACCATTCTTGTTTTTCAGGTAATCAGTTGTTTTTTTCCTTGGAGACCTCGGTTCCAGAACTTTTTGTTTCTTTTTTTGCTCCAACCTGAACTATTGTGGTCCCACTGGGCCTGCTCCTCAGTTTTCATCCTGCAGTCTTCCCTCTTTCCCTTGTGGGATCTTGTTTCCTGGCTTCATAGCATCTTCTTTCTTCACTTATATTCTATTTTACCAGAATATAGAATTCTGTGGGAAGTCATTTTATCTCAGCATTTTTAAGACAATGACTTTCTAATGACTAGTGATATTATGAAGAGTCTGATGTTATTCTTCCCCTTCTCAGTCCCTCTAATGATCTATTGTTTTTTTCTTCTCTGGATATTTTCAGATAATTTATTTTTCTGCTTAAAAATTTCACAATAGGCTGGGCATGGTGGCTCAACCTGTAATCCCAGCACTTTGAGAGGCCAAGGTGAGAGGATTGCCTGAGCCTGGGAGTTCGAGACCAGCCTGGGCAACTTGGTGAGACCTCATCTCTACAATAAATCTCAAAAACTAGCCAGGCATGGTGGCAATGCATCTATAGTTCAGCTACTTGGAAGACTAAGGCGGAAGGATTGCCTAAGCCCAGTAGGTCAAGGCTGTGGTGATTGTGGGCATGTCACTGCACTTCAGCCCAAGTGACAAGAGTGAGACTCCAACTCAAAAAAAAAGTTCACAAGCTGGGCTCGATGGCTCAGCCTGTAATCCCAGCGCTTTGGGAAGCTGAGGTGAGTGGATTGCCTGAGCCTGCGGGTTCGAGACCCACCTGGGCAACTTGGCGAGACCTCATCTCTATAATAAATCAAAAACTAGCCAGGCGTGGTAGTGCGTGTCTGTAGTTCCAGTTACTTGGAAGGCTGAGGCGGAAGGTTCGCCGGAGTCCAGCAGGTCGAGGCTGCGGTGGCCAGGGGCGGCCACTGTACTCCAGTCTGGGTGACATAGTGAGACTCGAACTCAAAAAAAAATTTGTGTATTTGTTCTTACATGTTTAAACTTCAGCCACCTTCAAAGTTCTCTCTGTTTGATGCAATACACCTATCAAGTCGTTTTTTTCCACTTCTTAGAACAGTTTTTGAATTCGTCCATTTTGATGCCTTTTGGTGTTTCTGCTGTTTTTTGTTTCACTCCTTCCACGTTGGCAAAACATTTCCCTTTGAGGACTTTTCTTATCAGGGAGACAAAAAAAAAAAAAATCAGGGGGAGACCAGGCCAACAGGAAGGATGGGGCAGGGGGGTCATGCCATTTTTGGTCAAAAACTGCTGAGCCCTCAGTGTGGTGTGGGCAGGTGCACTCGTAAATCACCCATCATGAAATGGGCAAATGTGTTGAAAGAGTCTCCAAAAAGAATTCACTGAATCCAAACACAGCCTTTCACAGCAATCCCAGCTGGTATACTGATGCCAATGTTTTCTTAGAGCACTCGCCTAGCAGGGAAGCCTGTACTACAAGGGACCCACCCTCCAAATGATAATTTTGGGTCCCCCCCTTGTATCACTTGCATTTTCATTTATTCCCCTGTATTTATTTATTTACTTATTTATGAGTCTGAATCTTACTCTGCCACCCAGACTGGAGTGCAGTGGCATATTCCCAGCCTTCTCAGCCTCGACCTGCTGGGCTCAGGTGATCCTTCCACCTCAACATTCCAAGTAGCTGGGACTACAGGCACTCACCACCGCGCCCGGCTACTTTTTTGATTTGTTGTAGAGATGGGGTCTTGCCAAATTGCCTACTAGACTCAGGCAGTCCTCCTGCCTTGGCCTCCCAAAATACTGGGGTTACAGGCATGAGCCACTTTTCTCTGCCTATTCCCGTTTTTAGCATTGTACCACACCTTGCCTTGCAGGGTATAGGAGTTCTGAAGATGAATCATTTTGTCTCTCTGTAAGTATCTCCCTGGGTACTAGCTTCCTGAATTTGGTCAAGTCAGGCAAAATCCTCCCATTTGCTTTCTGTCTCCCTAAATGGGTTGAAATTTCTTTGTTTGCTGATGTCTCTGCTGTCATTTTTGGGGTTGCTGCCTAAAATTCCTTTATCACATTTTAGTGAAGCCACTGGACAAATGGAGTGGAGTCAATACTTGTCAACCCAGCATGTTAAACAGGAATTTAAGAGATTTGGGGTCACGTGTGTTGTCTCACACCTGTAGTCCCAGCACTTTGGGAGGCTAAGGCAGGAGGATTGCTTGAGCCCAGAAATTCAAGGCTGCAGTGAGCTATGATTGCACCATTGCACTCCAGCCTGAGTGACAGAGCAAGACACTGTCTCTAATAATAATAATAATAATAAGAGATTTGGTTTGAACACCTTTTGAGAATGAGTTGACATTTTCCTCTGTAGCTAGATTTATTTTTGATGGTGTACCATTTATCTGTCTGTCCCTCCCTCTCTCTTTTTTTAAAACATGATGCTCATTTCTGTCTGAGACTCCATCAGAATGGCCTTTGCCACCCAAATTTCTGCCAACATTCTACTCACAACCACTTAGGTAATCTCTATGAAGGCTGAGACTGGCTCTGCTGAACCCATACCCAATTGCCCTTTATGCTCTTTTCTTGGCAGTGTAAGCTTTTTCTCTTCTCTTCTCTTCTCTTCTCTTCTCTTCTTCAGGAAAAGATAAAGAGCATCAGAAATGGGAAGTTTGTGAGTACGTATTAAATACTACTTTTGTCTCTTAGTCTCTTTATTTTTTTATTTTTATTTTTTGAGTCAGAGTCTCACTCTGACACCCAGATTGGAGTGCAGTGGTACACTCACGGCCACTGTAGCCTCTACTTGCTGGGCTCAGGCAGTCCTTCTGCCTCAGCCTCCCAAATAGTTGGGACTACAGGCACATGCCAACATGCCCAGCTAATTTTCTTATTTACTTTAGAGACAAAGTCTCGCCAAATTTCCCAGACTGGCCTTGAACCCCTGCACTCAAGACAGTCCTCTTGCTTTGGCCTCCCAAAGTGCTGGAATTATAGGTGTGAGCCACTGCACCCAGCAGTGTAAGCTTTTTCTATCATGCACCTCCAAATTCTTTCAGCCTCTGTCTGTGACCCAGTTCTAATGTTGCTTCCACATTTTTATTTCCAGTGTTTGTTACAGCAGGACCCCACTTCTCAGTACTAATTTCTATCTTAGTCCATTCAGGACTCCGTCTCTTTTGCATGGAAATATGTTTACTTCTATAAATAGTACATATTTATCATAAAAAATGTTAAACAATATGGAACTGCATAGACCAGAAAGTGAAGAGCTCCCTTGTCTCCCCTCAGCAGTGATTGACACCCACCTTTGCATTGCTAGACTGTGTGTACACACACTGTCCTCACTGTTCTTTATTCCAGGTTGTTTGTTTCATTTCCTTCAGGTCCCCAGGAAACCTGGAAAAGAACCGTTATGGAGATGTACCCTGCCTGGACCAAACCAGAGTAAAGCTGACGAAGCGAAGTGGCCATACTCAGGTAGACAGATAAGTGTCATCTTTTTAGAAATACTGAGGGAAACTTAGCCTTTTTCGGAGTGAAGCTTACTAGCACTGTGATAGACTGAAAATGGATTCTGAGGCCAGAGAGAGAAGGTTTGTGTTCTTACTTTGCTACAGACTAGTCTGACCGTTGGCAAGTTCTGAAATGCCCATCTCACCACACTGAGTGGAAATTAAATGAACTCCTTGATATGACTGCTAATAGCATAAGGTCTGCCATATTGTAGGTGCCTGAGAAATCTTAAATTATTTCTCCTTTTACCTCTTAGATGTAACATCACGTTCATATAGTACCATTCAGTTAGTCATTGCATATGTACCCATACAAGGCAACTTGGATTCCAAATAACCTCTGCTTATCTGCCTATATCTGAAAAACACTGTGGACAAGTAGTGTATACTTAAATTTCTAGGGACAGAGATGAAGCGGTCAAGTGACTATATTATTGAGTGGATTGATTTGATCCTATCTGTACATGTTAAAGATCACATATGTAATATATATATATTTTTTTTTAATTTAATTTAATTTTATTTTTTTTGAGTTGGAGTCTTACTCTATCACCCAGTCTGGAGTTCCATGGCACACTCATGGACACCCCAGCGTCTACCTGCTGGGCTCAGGATCCTTCCACCTCAGTCTTCCAAGTAGCCGAACTACAGGCGCGTGCTATCATGCCCAGCTAATTTTTTTGTTTAATTTATTGTAGACACAAGGTCTTGCCAAGTTGCCCGGGTTGTTCTCAAACCCACGGGTTCAGGCAATCCACTCGCCTCGGCTTCCCAAAGTGCTGGGGTTCTAGGCTGAGCCACCGAGCCCGACCCATTTGCACCTTTAACACCTGTGTCTTTGTCATTGTTTGAGCCCCTTTTTGAGTCAGTCTCCCAAGGTTTCCCAGACACAGCATCTTTATACCCTTCTGAATGTGTGGTATTGTCCCTGGAAAGTTTTTCCTAAAGCAAGAGAATCTGAGGCTAGCATGAGCATCCCCCTTTCACTCATCCTGCATCTCACACATCCCTGTAATGTGGTCATCACTTACTCCTTTGTAAGGTCCTTTTTTCTTCTTCTTTTAAAGTCAGAGTCTCACTCTGTCACTCAGGCTGAAGTGCAGTGGCATGATCACAGCTCACTGCAGCCCCGACCTCCTGGACCCAGGAGATCTTTCTGCCTCAGCCTTCCAAGTAGCTGGAGTTACAGGCATGTGCCACCACACCCAGCTAATTTTTATTTATTTAATTGTAGAGACGAGGTCTTGCTAAATTGCCCAGGCTGGTCTCTTGAAACCCTAGGCTCTGGCAGTTCTCGCGCCTCTGCCTCCCAAAGTGCTGGGATTACAGGCATAACCCACCCTGCCTGGCCTGTAACATGCTTTTTAACATAACTTGTTTATAGCAGCATCCAACCTTTCAGGTAATGACTACATAGGTATTACATTTTTTTCTTTTTTTTTTTTGAGTTGGAGTCTCACTCTGTCGCCCAGACTGGAGTGCAGTGGCCGCTCCTGGCCACCGCAGCCTCGACCTGCTGGATTCCGGCGATCCTTCCGCCTCAGCCTTCCAAGTAGTCAGAATTA